GCCACAATATCCGTTTGATCGAAATACCCGTGAGCAATATGAGCTATGTAGGGTCTGGTATCGACATAGGTGATGATATCGTTATTGTAGTTTTATACTGCTATTCCTTTGTCAATTTGTTCGCTAAGAAACAAGCCATAAACTTGAGAAAAGCCGGAGGTTTTTTCCCGACAGAGCCATTTAAGAGGCACACCTCAGAAATCCATCGCCATAATAATCATCCACGTGAACCCACGTGACTTCTCGTGATCCAATTCGGGCAGTTCCTCATTCGCGTTAATCCAAAGTTGACACTTCTGACTTTGGCCTCAGCGTACAATTACACACAAATTTCGTTTATGAGCAGGGTCCAGTTTGATAGTCTTAAATGCCGCTATCGGCAGAGAAAATCATTGCTACAGACACCAATTCGATTCTGGACTCCTGCATCTGGGAGTAAATGGCATATCCAAAAACATGTTCTGTGGACCATCCCCAATTTTTGGGCACAATTTGCGTAACAGGTGCAGCTAGACTGCAAGTCTCGTGGGCAAACATCGCAAAGGTTCAACATCTGTGATGCGCCATTTGAAACCTCATTTCATCCACCCGCTCTTCTTGGGAAGGTGGACAATATGAACGCGTCCTCAACCACAACTCGCTTCCGTTCTCCCTTCTTTGAGCTCTCACACCATATCTTCAACGTAGCACTTCGAGAACACTGTATCACGCGTAAGTTGAGCCAGCACACACAGAATTCGAGTTGCGAATTGCACGTGTGTCACCAGTCATCTGGAAATTCCACCTCGATTTGGGTCACTATGAATTCTTTTATGTGTTTAAGTGTTTCCTCCTGCAGCACTATAAACTAAATTAGAGTATACCGTAGCTGGGTGTGCTAGCTTAAAAGCAAAAGCAAGTAGAATGCTCTAGCTCTTTTACTTTTCCCACCATTTCTCTAGATGTCTGGACATGTTTGAATGAGTTGACCTAATATATTTCCTTATTATATCAATAAAGCGTATATATCGTTTAAAGTAATATTTAAGCACTACTATGACGTTACTGGATTAAATTCTTCCCCTTGTTCCCTAGCGTTTGCCCCACCTGTGCCGGGACGCTTTTGGTATGTTGACGCCACATTTCCTGGCGTTCACTGAATACAGTGCGTACCAAAAGTATGTGGACACCCTGGAATCGATTCTCAGGGGTCAGCTAAAGGCTTTTATGTCATGAAACCTCCACCATTCAACTCCTAGTGGTCGATAACCTACAATGATATTTTCGGCAAAAGATTTCGTTCTAACTTAGCGAACTATTTTTCATGGAAAGTTTTTTCTTTGTATCAAAATTATGTGGACACCCTGAGGCAGATGAAGTTTTTGCATCGATTTCCTAACCTATTTTTACTTCTCCTTTCGTTTACTTATTCTGGCATCATTCCTCTTCACGGCAAGCGTTTTTCTGAAGAAGACCAAGCACAGAAAAGGAGTCCTCATGTCGCTAAAGCTTCAGTTGCGAAATCACACGTCAACCTGGTCGTGCGTCCTCGTGTGTTTGCAAAAGAGATCCAGAAAATCCTGGTTACTAATCTCTCGGCACTGACTAATAGTCGTCTTCGATCGTTTTTATTCAAGACAGCAGAAGAATAGCTCGTATAATGTCAAATTTCCTTTATCTGCTATTATTGTTCGCGTTCAAATGACCTTGCCGGTCTTAAAAATGACCGATTAGCGTCCCATTCAATCGGATGAGCGCATGACACAATAGAAAATGAAGAAAGCTCCGCGTATGGATGCCTAGCACGAGTTGGCAAGGTTGGAATTCCTACTCAAAACTGAACCACAACATGAGACGTAGAACCCGGACAGAACGGTGCTGCTGCCACTTATTTGCTGTCATCATTACTTTCACAAGTGTTGTAGTTAGCCTAATGCAAATAATATCTTCACACCTGTCTGGAATTAAAATTCAAATGGAAAGTGTGTGTTGGTTTGGTTCGTAGTGATCAGTGTGGCATAGGAAGGCAACGCGTCCCTGCAAAAGAATCGTAGGGAAAGGGCAGCGAGTATCTACTCTAGAATGATGTACATGCTTCGAAAACTTAGTGGAGGAACAGCATCTTGTTAGAAAGTTCAAAACAGGCAGATTCGCAGCCTTCTTGGCATCATCAGATCCTGCAACCGCAAGCGTGTCATTCATCAGAACGGGTTGGAAAGGAAGCGATTTCAATAAAGGAATAATCAGACATCACTATGACTACAAGAGTCATCCTAATTAGTTAATACTGGAAATATCTTTTGTGTGCTTAAAGGAGGATTGCACGGAAAGAACGAAGGTCGAAGAAGGGAGAAATCGCCTAGTGGGGAGAGCGGTGAATCTCTTGAGGGTGCGGACAGACACGCAATCGGCATCGAAAGATTTGACCTCTGAGATCTAGCATGGCTCAAAGTTGGCGAGTTCGGCGATCTCCGCCCACCGATCGTCTGATCACTCGCCGTAGTACAATAGGTGGCGAGTGATTAGATAGCTGAGAGAGCGTAGGGTTGAAGAGGGCAAAGCGATGAGAGTCCCATCAATGCTCAAATCAACGGACAAGGAAGGGGTCCCATTTCTCCGGTTCTGGGCCGTTTTTCGTGGTTTCGCTTTCTTTCTGGTACTACTCACCATCTCTACCTCAATTTGGAATGGGTTGCTTTTCCATCGTAAATTCGTCCTTTAAGCAAGTCGTCACTAGGACAAAACACCTTCCCAATGACTCCGAGTGGGGTCACTGCATGGCGCATACAAGAACGGAATGGATCTGCGCCAAGTGCATCATTTTCAATTTACTCCATCGAACTGACGTGTAGAAGTATTTTGAAGGTGTTCAAAGAAGTTCCCTACTACGGCGAGGGAGTAATAGAGTTTTCGAGTGGCTTCGAAAATTTCCTTGACATTTCCTCGACGCAGATTTCTCGCGAACTAGAAAGCGTTCGAAACAAATGGAGCACCTGTTAGAAAGCGTGAATCTTCTACTTTACAACGCTTTCCTCGGATTTCAAAGCATTGCCAATGAAGACAGCTACTGTCTTCCTAAGAGTGGGAACTCGCATGTAAATTTCAATTTCCTCGACAATTTCTCGACGTCTCCCACTCTCGAGAATAGGTGTGCTTAGAAAAACGCTCAGCACAATTTAGAAACTAGAAGTCTTGTGCATTCAAAAGCTGCCTTCACTTTTTGAAATGGTTATCAATGAAGAAAGTTATAGTCCTTTGAATAGGGGGTACATTTGACGATTTTTCCAACTAGCGCGCTCTAGGCACAGCGCGCGACGCGATCGCGGGTAGTTAGCGCCGCTATACTGGAGCGCGAGACTGTTCAACTGTGTAGGGGCAGTACCTCCTTCAATGTTCTACTTTCCGGCCAATGTGGCAAAGGTTAAATGTCTTTAAAGGAAAGAAGGAGAGCCTAATCTGAGCAGAATTGAATCTAGCATTTGGATCAAACCGCATTTTGCGTGCGTAAGGGACAGGTAGACTGCGTGGCCGCTGGTCCCTTTCTCGCACATCTGAAACTAGCATTTTTTGATATGAAACCGGATGTGCAGAGGACAAAAAGGGGTCGTATCAGAGTCCATGTTTTGGAGGGGGGTCGTAAAGAGGCGGGTTATTTCCTCGACACGATTTTCACCCTGCCGAGCAGACTCACCCTCCTGGCAGAGTCAACCGTGCGTTGCGCAGTTCTCAACGGCACGTTGAGAGATCCTCAACGCACGCTGTATGGGCGGAGAGCACAGACGGCTCGAGCATGCGAGTGTGAATGTTCGCGCGAGAGAACGTGTCTAATCGGGCGAAACTGCGCAACGTGGCCGTTGAGAACTGCGCAACGCAGGGTTGACTCTGGCCAGGCAGCCAGCGACTTTCGTAGAACGGTATAAGAACTATTCAGGAAAGACTTTCTGTGGGAATCTCCTACTTAGGCCACCTCGAGTGGTGAAAAAGAGCTCATCTTCTGCTATTCGGGTGGGTTTTGTTGTCTTTGGAGGGAACTTGCTTGTGACCCGCAGATGTGCTCGAAGAGACAATTCGGAGGATGTTCGATAACTTCGTATAGCATACATTATACGAAGTTATACGAGGAAATTGGCGTTGGGCTTACCAACATGTCACGTAGACAATCAGAATTATAATGAGGTGCTTTGATCCCGGCTAAAACTTTTTACGAGAAGTCACCGTCGCTAAACACTTGCTTTGCAGCAAGCTCTAGGGGAGGTCCTTGCAGAAATATTTTGAAGAAAAATGCTAGACGCAACGGTTTCGATGAAGGTCGGCTAGAGTATTTCTCAGACCTCATTCCTTATAGAAAAACGCAGGAAGTACGTGGTTCGTTGGACGGTCTCTCATCTGAAAGAAAAAGTACTTATCACAAGAGAACTCTTAACCATACTTTGTGACAATTGGCCTGCGTTGGTGACATATCGACAAGACAGGTATAGAGAGCCTGGTTCAGAGCATGCCAAACAGAATATCTTAATTCACTAGAAGCTTTGGTAGGCCTACCGATTTCAGATTCCGAAGATATTGCCGATTTTCAAAACGTGTCCACATATTTTCGTATTACAGCAGGAAAGGTATTTTCTGCGAATGTTTGCGTTCAAGGCCCCTCTGAATACCAGAAAATTCAGCCTTGGTTCTGTGGTTCCGATGTGCCTCTACATCATACAAGAAGCGGCCGTTTTGAAAAAGCTGCACACCCTGAAAGACCTTCCTTGTAAGCCAACTCCTTGCCAAGCAATAATTTTCAGTGGTTGGTTGCAAAGTTGAACCTGCTGCTGCAAATATCCTCAACTTTTGAAATTGCGCACATCCAAAGAAATCTTGGACCTGACTGAGAATGTGCAGCAGCAAAGAAACCCTTTGTTAAATAAAAACTGAAATTCTGTATGTTGTCTATTTATTTGGTAAGATAACAACATTTAGCTTTAGCCTCAATCTACCTAATCTTTTTTTTTTCTTCAGTTGCCCTTGTGATGAACCGCCTAAAGTTCTTTTGTCGTGGGCTTCTCCTTCGGAAGAGTCGTTTGAATAGCTGCAATTTCATCGTCCCACGCTTTCTCGATCTTCGACCAATGAGCGAGCAATTCCTTAAAAAGTTAGAATGATACCGGCACAGGCTCATGGACAGCAAATAGGTTGTATGTTTAAGCACGTTAATATAGAGCACAAAAATATTATTCGAACATATGAAGACTGCATGATTACCAAGGAATACATGATGCCAATGCAAAATTGAGAAACAGTCTCAAAAAGTTCAATCCTCCTACCTTCTTTCTTTGCTCACGCCTGTTGAAGTAGTACGGGAATTGCTCTTTCTCAGGCAGTGTCCACTGTTCAGAATCCACGATCTGAAGAAGGAAAAGCATATAATGGACCCATTACCATGAACTTAACAAGCAAAATTTGCCGAAGGTCCAGTAAAAGTTTCTAGCCATGCCGCGGTATCAATATTTTGCAAGGATTCTAGAAGGCACCATAAATAAAAAAAAAACAAAATAAAATGACAAATAACTCATATGTGAACCCACCTGGTCAGGAGATTCGCGATAGCGATCGTAGCTACTGCCTCCGGGGTCCAGAGGGTCTAAATACAAGGACTGTAATTTTGCTGAAACGCAGTAACGCCGATTAATGGCCTTTGCTCAATTTCAAGATTCAAAGAAAGAAATATTATCATACATCGGAATTGGTTTGAAATGCCTTTTTTCCCACAGCTGCCGGCAGCCATCAGCAAGAAGGTATTGGCTTTTGCGAGTGTCTTTCTCATCCTTGTTTGCATCGAATCTAGCTCGCATGATCACTTTTTGATAACGCACTTCCAAGCTGAAAAAAGCAAGTTACACTAAAACGCAACGAATTGTAAGCGACACGTGGCAACAGTATGACAGTCTGTGATCACGTGAGCCCTTTCAAATTCCCTTAGGCCGATGTCAGATTTTAGACCGCCGTCACACTCGGCGACGGACAAGCGATGGAGCGATCGCGATCGCTCCATCGCTTGTCCGTCGCTTGCCAATCGCTCGGGTCGAGCGATTGGCAAGCGATTGCGCAATCGCGTGCAATCGCTCTCGGCCGAGCGATTGCAACGCGATGGAGCGATCGCGTCGCTCCATCGCTTGTCCGTCGCCGAGTGTGAGGGCGGTCTTACGCATTAAAGACGAGGCACCGATTGGGCTCAAAATTCTAAATAAATTCTTTTCGAAGTCAAACAATCAATAACTTTGGTGAGATAACGTAATATCGTCTTGTTCCAGATCTCAAATTTACTTTTATCCTCAGCAACTTTGACTAAATGCTTTGCTACAGTACTTTCAAAAGCATCTATGTCTCACAGATGTTGATAGGAATTTTTTCTGACAACATGTTTTGGGAAGGCCAAAAATAGCGCTTCCTGAAAACTGACTCTAATGTTGTGATAAGTTAGCCGCAAGTATTAAGAGCTATGGCGTAACACCCACTGGAAAATTGGAGAATCTGCAAAAAAAACCTAGTTACAACGATATGACTTTCTATTTCACTTCGCAGATTTTCCAACTTGACACAACGTATAAATATAGCTCTACTGTGACCGAGTAAGCTAGAAGTCGGTAAAATGTCTCAGTGCTGATCCACAGACATTGCGAAGCGTAACTACAAGATAGGAAGGCTAGTATATCATTAACATTTGCGATCATAAGGGTAAAACTCACCAATCGCCTCCGTACCAATTGTCGATTTCCCTTAAAGCTTTCTTGTAAAGACGGCACACCTTCTGACGGTGTGACAAAGCCTTCGTGAACATCCATGCCGGAGACTCCATTGCCTCCGAACCGGTGTAATCACCTCTACAACAAGAGATATAGCATAGTTTACCGAAATGTCGGAAGGCAACATTGACGCGAAAAGTGTAGCATTAGGACGCATTCATAGTCGGTCGTCCGATCGTAACAATCGTTACGATCACACATCATCGTGTACGTATCGATCGCCCTGTCGTTCGACACGTCCAACGATCGATACATATCTAATGCTGTGCGGTCATCACGATCCCTACGATCAGACCATCGACTATGAATGCGCCCTTGGACTGGACTATCACGAAACGTAGGTTTTGTGCGCATTTAGATTTAAATAATAACAAGTACAGTGCACATGTGTTCATTCACAAACCTAGGGGTGTGGTTTACTGGGACAGAAAGCGACTTTTTCGCGTTTCGCAGCAGAAACATTTTTCGCTGCGGGAACCTCAGGTCCACCGCTGATCATCAGTGGACCCGAGGTTCCCGCAGCGAA